ATTCTATCCCTCTGTTTATGCAGCCTAGAACTGTGTTGGCTTTTTTGGCAGCTGCTGCACACTGCTGGCCCATATTTAAATGGTTGTCCACTAGGGCTCCAAGATCCCTCCCACAGTTACTACTATACTGTACCTGTGCATTTTGTTTTTTGTTTGTTTTTTGCCTAAATGATTCATTTAACAATTGTGGTTAAAAAAAACCTGGTTGTAAAATCAGGTGAGCAACCATCTTGTTTAGTAATGGAAATACTGGTCTCAATTGTGAATGTAAGTTGAGGGCTACTTGCAACAGGTGCCCATACTCTCAGTGAAGCCACTTCCATGCGCTCATTTTCTTTCCAAGGGCAAGTATGCCAAGCCTCTGAAGGAATTTCCAAGCAGCTCTTTTGTTTCTTAAGTTTAACATTTTTATTGGGTTATAAAATAAAATAAGATACAAAATACGAAAATTAATAGGAAAACTGTGGAGAGGAAGATGGGGAAGAGAAGTGAGGCAGGATAAGAAAAAAAGAAAAAGAAACATTGACTTGCGACTCTCTGTTGCAGTAGAATAAGGCATTAACATCAAATCACAACTTTTTGTTTATTCATAATAGTATGAACAAGCCATTTCTATGAGAGGTGGGTTGCAAATCCTGGCGCTACCGGTTCGGTCCTGCTCACATGCACACTTACATGTGTGAGCAACACTTCTGTGCATGCGCAGAAGCGTCCTGGCAAGTAGGCAGAGCCTCCTGCCACCGCCACTACCAGTTGGCCTGATCCAGGCCAAACTGGGAGCAACCCACCTTTAATTTTTATAAAGATCTATCAATCTACTTGGTGAAACCCAAAATCAAAGTTTCATTCTTTTTCACTTCCAGCACGAAGTTCAGAAGTGGTCACCATGTAGAAATAAAAGTACTTAGATTGTTTTCTTTAATCAAAATAGTCAATTTTGCTATTTCAGCCAACTCCATCAGCTTCTGCAACCACTTGTCCATGGTAGGAATCGAACTGTCCTTCCATTTTTGTGCATAACATAGTCTTGGTCCTGTCAACCTATATAGTAACAGGTCTTTTTCTATTAGACCCTGGGAATCTCCAAGCAGCTCTTAGAAGAATCTTAACCCTTGGGGTGACTGTACAGTAGAGATAAAATGATTACATGACCGTCTATAAAATTGTTTTATTTTTCTAGAAACAATTTCTAATTACTATTAACAGTGGTTGGTTGATACTTGAGATAAAAAAAAAAACAGTAACTCAGCAATGATGTCAGCTTTCATTCATTAAAGCTTCCTTCTTTGGCATGAACTGCATGCTTTTCCTACATAATAATGTACAACTGAAAGAATGCAATTGTTTGTGAGAATGGTTTCCAATAGATATGCATAGGGGCGAAGAAGGAACATGGCTACAGTTTTTAGCATTGTCTATGTCATGACTGATAAATCATAAAGAAGTTGCCCTTTCTGTTAACATACAACAAACAATTGAGGCCAAAATTTATGTTAAGTGAATCTGGCTTCCTCATTGACTTTCCTTGTGAGATTGCAAAAGGTAATCACATGACCATGAGGATGCTGCAATGGTCACAAGTGTAAAAAATGGTCATAAGTCACTTTTTTCAGTGCCGTTGTAACTTCAGTCACTAAATGAACTGTAAGTCTAGGACTACCTGTATCTCCATCTCATCTCACTTGAAAAGAAAAATCCAAACGGCATTTTGAATCGTTCTATCTTTCATCAACATAGCATGATTTTCAGCAGGAAACTTTCTTTTCTTTTATCTAATTAATATGTTTTTCTTGCTTTGGAGACATATAGTTCTCAGAGCAACGTTGTTTTTTTTAAAGGTTTTAAAAAACTGTAATTCATATTTGTACTGGAAAGGCTTCCTTCTCAGAAATTCTGCCTCCAAACAAAGTCTCTTAATAGCGCTTTAAAGACCAATGATTGTCGCATGAATTCTTAGTGGGATTTCCTGCAAAACACCAGCAATATATTCTGTATATAGCTTCCATTATGAAGATGGGGCACAACCTGAGAGCAATCTTCACAACTCCACCGCATCCTGAGAGGTTTTAAGTCAAAAGACGGGGTAGCAAACCTTCGAGCGGCCAATGGAAGACAACGAAGAATTTCCAGATGTGGCACCCTAGTTAAATGCATCTGGAGGGCACCAGATTGGGGACGGCTAATGTGAACCGATCAGCATGGGCGGAGTCTCCTCCTCATCCCGTAACCGCCGATTATCTCCACTTCCTGGATATGCCAGCAAAGCAAACCGATTCCATTGCAAGCGGAGCAGCGATGGCAGCGTTGCCGGAAGGAGGCCACGGCGGCTGTGCAAATCTCGACCGCCTCCCTAGCAGGCCTCGGACCGGCCGCTGGCTGTGAGGGTCTCGCCGTACTGTATCGGCGGCGAAGCGGTTCCCAAACCACCCCGCCGCCCCTGTCCACCAGCTTCCCCCCCCCCCATCTCTTGCGTCCTCCCTCCTTCCCCTTCTGGCGCGACGCTTCCTCTTCCACTCGCCTCCGCCGCAGGGTTGACAGCGCGAGACCCAGGGCACCGGAGAACGTGCCAGATGTGGACAAAGCCACACCTTGCCATTTGCGCACTGTCTGTCCCCATTTGGTTGAGCTCCAGATGTGTGCCGTGCCTCCTTTGGGCCGCAGGGGGCGGTAGACTCTGGCGGAAAAAAGACAAATGCGCCGGGTAAGTGGCCAAGGGATCGCGAGAGGTGTTTCCCTAAACTTGATGGCTACGTTTGGAGTCCCCCCCCCCCCGGCCTTTGCATTCATCTCTGACCCGTTGTGTCTTTCTAGTACGACGAAATTGCAAGATGAGAATGAACTCTTTCCTTGCCGTCATTGCTCATATAGTGCTTTTTATTTTTAGTATCACGAGGAACCTGAAATTAGGAGGTAATGGAAAAGGAACAAGTAGTCCGATCACCTCTACATCATCCTATTCAATTCCTTGCACTGGCTGCTGTCATTCACTGTAATGGACGATCTGGAGGTGGAGAAACAATCTCATCCTTTCTGACATCAAGAGATCAATCAGTTTTACAAATCTGGTGGTCTTATAATAAATCAGAAGCCTAGTGCCAGTGTTGAAGGAATCCTGCTAAGCTATTCGATTTGGTTACTAATGTTACTTAGTATGATGTACTTTCTGATTTAATAGGCAATCTGGAAGATTTAAAGCAAAATTCTTTCATCAAATATGGGCATGTCTCACATTAAATTAATATCAGTTCGCACCAGCAGACTTGCTGCTTTTCCACACCTTTGAAGTGGCTCAGAAAAGAATGCATTCCCCTCATTCAGAAGGTCCCAGCTGTGTTTGAATGTCACTTTGCACTTATAAATATATTGTTCAAAAAACCTGCAGTGAAAAATGCAACAATGGGATGCTATTAGCTATCAGCAACCGGAATGAGAAACCTAGGAAATGATACAGTAGGACCTATGTAAATAGGCATCTGGTTATTGAGAAAGATAGTTTTAAAACTGAAGCTTTATGGGAGGGAGGGCAGACAGGCTCTTAGAAGTGAATAGATGCAGATTTTCCAATATATTGCCCTCTAACTGGGTTAAAATAAAGAGAAATTTCCTAACAGTGAGAACAATTCAGTAGAACAGCTTACCTCTATAATTTAGGGGAAAACCTCACTGGAGGTTTTCAAGAAGAGATTGGACAACCATTTTGTGGAATGCTGTAGGATCCCCTGCTTGAGCAAGGGGTTGGATTAGAAGGCCTCCAAGGTTCCTTCCATTGTTCTGTATTCTGAATACAACTCTAATGATCTCCAAACAGTATGGGAATTATGATCCAACAAGCCGAAGGGCATTAACTTGAAAGACCGAATAAATAATTTAGATATATATGATATGACTTTGGCAACCAAGAAGTAGCTTTGATTTTCACAGATGCATTCATTTCATTGAAATCCATCTGTCGCATATAATTAGCTTTCGAAATTCAGATTTCTGACTTTGCGTAGGCTGTGTATTTTATATAATACATGCATTGCTTTTATTAAGTAGCAGAGGAGTAGGCCAAAGTTTCTTTGAGAAGCTCAGAGGCTCTTGGAAGGAAGCATTCAGTTGCCATTGGGTCAATAAGAGGGCAGATTGTGCAAGTCTTTGGTGAAATGTGTATCCATGGGAAGAACTGCAGGAACTGGCATAGTTTGGAAAAGGTGGTTTTCAAAAGAAAAAGAGTATCAGGATTTTTAAATATTATGATAGGATGTTGTGTCTTATTATTTTCTTCCTCTTTTTCATTGTCTGATTGATGATTGATTGATTGATTGATTGTCCTGGGCTTTATCATATCCATTCCTCAAAAGACTCCTGAATTGAGAAAAATCAACATGAAAGGCGAAGAAACTCGACAGCGGAGAAAGGAAGGCCGAACCAGGAATGGAGAGCGATCCAGGCCGAAAGCAAAGAGCAAGAGTAAACACAAAGAGAGCAAACTTGGCAGCCAGGGCACAGAGGATGGCCCTTTGCTCCTGCCTCAGAAGCAGCCTCCCGAGGCAAAAGTGGCCATGGCAAAACTACAGGAGGAATCAACCTTGGCAATTGGCCTCCAGGTGCTCCTGCCTTACCTGCTGGCAGGCATGGGCATGGTCCTGGCGGGAATGGTCTTGGATTATATTCAGGTAAGATGAAGAAGAATTCTGGGAATGTGCTTTGCAGTATTTGGTTGCCTAGGAAGAAGTTTGACCATGTGCGGGGTTGGGGTTGGGAACATGGCACGTGCAGGTGGCACGAAAATAATAACATCTTACCTGATTTTGTGGTCTCCTTGCTCAAAGTTGCATTTGGTTGGATGCTATGTATGTGGACCGGGGAGTAAGCCTCCATAGTTAATTCAGATTTAAATCTAAGCGACTGTACTCAGTGCTCAGTTTTTAAGAGTATGTTATATGTGCATTTGAATATAAGGTTGATAGACTTTAGTACAGTAACTGGGCATGCATTTGGATGGTGCAAAAACTTTTCCAGTTGCCTTCTTTTATATCCTCCAGATGGGTTGCACTAAATTTTCCATAACAGTTCAGCCAGCACATCAATAGGCATTATGAAAGTAACAGTCCAATGTATTTGAAAAGCTCCAGGTGTAAAGGGGGGGGAGGGGGAAGCTTTTCTGGAACCACCTCCAGCTAAGAAGGTTTATAACATTCCGTCTAGTGTCATGGTCAATTACATGTGATCCAAATCAAACTTCTATCATTTCTTAGGGTTTTTTTTAATGATGATTAATATGTATTTTTAAATCTTATATTGCAAACTGCACTTTAAGATGAAACCGCAAGTTCCTGAAGCAAGCCTAATTTTAAAACACATCATTGGAGAGGCTAATCTTGCTGCAACAAATACCACTTTAAATATTTAATTGAGGGAACTCAGCATGAATCTAAACTTTATTTTAATATTGTTATTATACTAATCATGCACTGTTAATTCTTATATTTTAGTGTCGTACACCACATGGAGCCTCACTGGGGGGAAATGTAGATAAACTGTATAAAATAAATAAAAGCAGGCTCTTGTTTTTCAATTCAAACAAGCAATTTGATTAAGTTCTAATAGGTTACTTTTTCAGCACTGAAATCCTTCCTTGTGCTATCTAATTTATTTAACTAGTGAAATAAGAGGTCATGTTGCCCTTTGTCTTTCTGATAGGATGACATTAAAATGCCTTCTGCCTGTTTTCTCTGGTCCAGAGTTCATATTTCTTGCTTACATTAATTTCATGTTACTGTTTAGCATGAAGGAAATCAATTGGGTTTCATAAGATTTTTACCTGTTTCAGAATGTTTTATATGCAGCTGAGCTAATGTGAGTTTAGTTCCTTCCTGAATACGTGGAGGCTGGTGTGCAGTTTGTTCTCTTCTCACTTTGAGGTTCTCTCCTGCAATAGATTTTAGAAGTATCCCAAATTAAAATGATTTAGCCAATTACCTAGAGGAGTGTGATGCTTGATGTTCCAGAAGTGTATTGATTTTTTTTTTTTTTTGGCAAACCCTGTTTATTTCCCAATTGGTTTTTGCACTGTATCAAGCTGATTGTGTTACTATTTTTTATATAGTTCCATCATGGTACATGACATTTTATAGAGTACAGGAAGAGAAGATTTAGCCTTAAATAATGTTCTGCCTGAAGAGCATAGACATATAAATAAGTAATCAGATTTCACTTAGAGCAGAGATGAGCAACCTTTATGGGCCTAGGTCAGTGGTGGATTCTGGATCCCAGTGATGCTTCTGCAAGTCTCAGCAATACTCCAGCTGCTCAGCGGAGCATCACACAGGTGCTGTACGCGCCATGCACGTGTGCGAAAACGCCAAAGGCTTTAAAGGATAGGTAAGGAGCTCCAGTGGGCGGGTGGGCCCTCCAGAGCACCATACCGGAACGGTACCCGGTGCTCCGGGCAGGCTCTGGTACGCCCGTACTGGCTGCAACCCACCACTGGCCTAGGTTCACCCTTCTCATTTTGCTTGAGGATTGGAGAAGATAAGGCAAGTAATGTC